CTATTAAACAAGCCATGCGATTTGGTTCAAATTTCTGTCAGCTGTGGCTTCCTGAAGGTTCGTCGAACTCCGAGGTGGATTTATTTTATTTCATATTTTAAAGACAAAGGAGCCCTGCGACGGGGATTAGGCTACCTCCATCCCGTCTCCTCTTCTGTTGTGGAGGAAGAATGAGAGTGACATCCAGAAACTGCTGGAGCTCCGCACGGCCAGCTTTCAACGTGTCCCCGCCTACAGGCCTTGATCTGCGGTCAAGTTTGGCCAAAATGCCCCTGTTGCTTCTTGGGCTTATATCTCAAAAATTACCGAACAGATTTCTATGAAACGTTCAGGGAATGTTTATTACACTTCCAGGAAATGTTCAATACACCACAGAGAACAGAAGATTAAAGTTAAAATCATTTCAGACTGCGTRCACCGYTCTGATCTGATCCAAGAACCGCTGGAGAAACTCCGAGCTGCTGCTCTGAAGCGTTTCTTAGGAGMCGCGCATGCGCTCGGGCTCTGAAATGTTTTAAATGTAAAATTATTAATTAAGAGTTTGATTTTATTTTTTATTTTGAACAAAACATACGACCCCAATTTAGCTCCATACTGGCCTGGCTCACACAGTGCACTAACACTTAGCCCAAATATGATAGCCCTTTGGTGGCTTGGATGTGGTTTGCCAGTGTTGGTCCAGGCATGGGCCAGCACCACATAAACCAAACCACAACTGGGCCACTTGTGGCATGCCATTAAAAAAACAGTGTCATCTTTGCCAGACCTGGCCCACATCCAGTTGCCAACTCCATCGACACACTCCTGTCTACTATGTGAAGAGTTTCTACATGTTTACAGGGTTGGTCTTTTTGTTTGTTTGACAACTTTAAAACAAACAATAAATGGCAGTAAATGTAGCACAATAGGGACCAGTTTTGGCATACAGACTTTTGAACATTTGAAAACTCTTAAATTGAATCCACAAGTTTAACGCACACAGTCTCAATAAATACTTTTTGTTACATTTGCTCCTTTGAAGTGTGGTTCAGTGAAAATGTTATGAACAATCAACATCTTACCTGTTGTAGATAGCTCTTTGAACAACCACATTTAGGAGAAATAGACTTTTATTTTTGATCAAATTGATGCAAATAGCTAATTTGAGCGTGACTAAGARATCAAAGTAGATTATTTCCATCTTTAAACGACTTCAGTCTGAAAAAAATCTCATAAAAACTCCTGCTAGCATTATTTTGTAAATCACTTCATGTGCAGCCTGGCACACTTCCGACAAGATATATACTGTATATATA